GTCGTGGTGCGGCGCCGCGCTCGGGGGGGCGATGCCGGGGCGGGCAGCGCGGGCCCGGGGCGCGCTCCCCTGCGCGCTCCCGCTGCGCGAACCGGGCTGCGCTTGGGGCCCCGCAACCCGGGGCTGAGCCAGCCTGGACAGGCCGGGCCCTGCGCGGTCTGGGGTGCGCTGGGGTCCGCAGGCTCCCCGGGCTGCCCCATGCGCTGCAGGCTGTGGCATCCCTCGGGTCCCCTCGGGGCCGCGCTTCTCCCCGCTGCCCATGGTGCCGCGCGCTCCTGGAGCTGCGCGTTTCCAGGGATGCCCACGGCAGCTCCAGCCGCGCTCCCCCGGCTGTCCGCGGCAGCCGGCCGGACCCCCCTGCGCCGCACTGGGTTTCCCTGCCGGCTCCTGCCAAGCTGGAGGCTGCAGCCAAGCGCGCCCTGCCAGAGCCCGCGTCCCCGCGCTGCCTGCCAGCCTCACGCTGGCCCTGGCCCAAGCTCCGAGTGCCGCCAGCAGCCACTGGCACCCAGCGACATGAATCCCCAGGGCAGGAGCCAGGACACGGCCTCGGCCGCCCTCCCAGCGGTCCATAGGGATAGGGACAGGGACGCACAGGAACACGGCTGCGGCATCGGCCACTGCTCCGGTGGCAGAATAAGGGTTGCTTCACGTTTTTCATCATCCCAACGATAAAAACAGAGTGCTGGACGCCACTAAAAGGCTTAAACCCCCCTATTTGCTTCTTCTCCAATAGCAGCGTATTGAACTGTGTGGCGATACCCCTGCACAGAGGCAGGAGAGGCACCATCGTGCGTGGGAGGCCGCGGAGATGTGAGTGCCGTGTGAGTGCGAGGCCGGGCAGGAGCGGGAGCTGCACCAACTTGCTTCCAAATAGGTCTCTGCCGCTTGTGCCTCTGCGCAGGAACTGCCTTCAAGCCCGAACCCTCCTGACGTGGAGCGAGGGCCGCGGCGGGGGCGGCGCGGCGGGCGGGCCGCGCGGGCCCTCAGCGCCGCCGTCCACGTTGTCAGAAATTCCAGCGGCGCCGGGGCCGGGAGTGGGGGGAGCAGCGGCCGAGGCCCCTCCTCCGGCGCCGGCCCCTCGTCCGCTCCCGCGCAGCCTGCGAGCGCAATGGCCCCCGGCAGCCTCGTCCTCCTCGCCGGCCTCCTGGGCGCCCTGGCGCTGGGTGACCCCGGGCCCCTGGAAGACGTGGTCATAGACAGATACTACATCCCCAAAATCTGCCTGCGGGAGGCGCAGATGGGCGATTTCATCCGCTACCACTACAACGGCACCTTTAAAGATGGCAAAAAGTTTGACTCCAGGTACAGCGGCGGGCGCCGGGCCATGCAAGCGTGCATGCAGGAGTGCGAGCATGCAAGCGTGCATGCCAGAGTGCAAGTGTGCAAGTGTGCATGCAAGAGTGCGAGTGTGCAAGCGTGCATGCAAGAGGGCGAGCGTGCAAGCGTGCATGCAAGCATGCAGCCCTGCTGGGCGCTGGATGGTGGGAGCAGCAGCGAGCGGGGCCGGCCCTGTCCACGTGTCACCCGGCCCTGCAGCCCCTTCCCCCGTGTTCCCTGTGCATCCATGTGTGGGGATTCTGCCACAGCGCCGGGAGGCAGGATAAGGCCGGGCGGGAAGCTGCTCATCCGGGAATGGGGATTTGCACAAATTGCAGTGAGAGAAAGAAAGCAAAAAGGAGCCGATCAGAGTGGGACGTGGCACCGCGAAGCTGCTGCTTGTCTGAGCAGCCTCATCCCTTGGGATCTTCCCTGAGCCGTGCAGGAGGTTGCAATGCCCCAAAATGGCCCCAGCTACTCCTCACGGCGAGCACTTTAAAAATAAACAATAAAGACAAGTTTGCGGTTGAAAACGGAGCCCTTGGGGCAACAGCTTTGCTGCCTGCCATGCACGGAGCTCCGCTCGGGGAGCAAACACAGGGGTGCAGAGAGCCTCGTGCGGGGCCGTGCTGACAGGCGCCCGCGTCGCCCGCAGCTACGACCGTGGCAATGCGGTGGCCGGTGTGGTGGGCGTGGGGCGCCTCATCACCGGCATGGACCGCGGGCTGCAGGGCATGTGCGTCAACGAGCGGCGCCGCCTCGTCGTGCCGCCCCACCTGGGCTACGGCAGCATCGGCGTGGGTAAGACCGGGGCGGCAGCGGGGCCCGGGCACCGCTCCCGGTGCCGGCAGCTGCAAACGGGGGGTCCGGGGTGCCCCGAGCACCGGGGCGGTCGCCTTCCTCCCCGCGCTCGCTCCCGGCCCCTCCGTGCGCCGCCTAAGGCCGCGCCGCTCTCGCCGCCGGCGCTTTAGCGGGGCTCATCCCCCCGGACGCCACCTTGTACTTCGACGTCGTCCTGCTGGACATCTGGAACAAGAAGGACCAGCTGCAGGTCACCACGCTGTCCAAGCCCGAGCGCTGCAACCGCACCGTGGAGAGCTCCGACTTCGTGCGCTACCACTACAACGGCACCCTGCTGGACGGCACCCCCTTCGACTCCAGGTACAGGCACAGGGGCTGCCATGCACCCATTGACGTGGGGCACAGGGTACCCGAGCAGCAATGCACCCTTCAGCTCCAGCTATAGGGCATGGGGGCTGCAATGCACCCTCTGACAGGGGGTACAGGGTGCTGGGGTTGGGATGCAGCCTACGGGGCGTACAGGCACCCGAATCCCCCCGTCCCCGCAGCTACAGCAAGCAGAGCACCTATGACACGTACGTGGGCACGGGCTGGCTCATCAAGGGCATGGACCAGGGGCTGCTGGGCATGTGCGCCGGCGAGAAGCGCAGCATCGTCATCCCGCCCTTCCTGGCCTACGGCGAGAAGGGCTACGGTGAGCGGCGGCACCGGGGGTGGCGCGGGGCGGCGCGGAGCCCCCTCGCCGTGCTGAGCGGCCCCGCGCCCGCCGCAGGCACCGTGATCCCGCCGCAGGCCTCGCTCGTGTTCAGCGTCCTGCTCGTGGACTTCCACAACCCGCGGGACGGCGTCGCGCTGGAGCAGCTGCAGGTGCCGGCGGGCTGCGGGCGCCGGGCCGCCGCCGGCGACTTCGTGCGCTACCACTACAACGGCACCCTCATGGACGGCACCCTGTTCGACTCCAGGCACGCAGGGCGCCCCGGGGGCGGCGGCGGGGGGCTGGGGCAGGAGGGCACCAAGCGCCCGGCATGCGCATCCCCGCTCGCTGCATCCCTTGGGAAAGCGCGGCCCGGACAGGGCCAGGCTGCGGGGAGGGCGCCAAGTGGCCGGGCTTGTCTCACCGCAGCTATTCCCGCAATCACACGTACGACACCTACATCGGCAAGGGCTTCATCATCCCCGGCATGGACCAGGGCCTGCAAGGCGTCTGCGTGGGCGAGAGGCGCCGCGTCGTCGTGCCCCCGCACCTGGCCTATGGCGAGAGCGGCGCAGGTAGGGCCAGGGCCACGCGGGGCAGCGGGGACAGCGGGGACGGCCACCCGCGCTCCCGGGACGGCCGCACCAGCTCTGCCAGCGCCTCCGCCCGCTCCCATCCCAGGGGACAAGATCCCCGGCTCGGCCGTGCTCATCTTCGACGTCCACGTCATCGACTTCCACAACCCTGAGGACCCCGTGCAGATTGAGACCGTGCACCGGCCCGAGGGCTGCAATGTCACCAGCCGCCCCCGTGACTTCGTGCGCTACCACTACAACTGCTCGCTGCTGGACGGCACCAGGCTCTTCTCCTCGTGAGCGCTGCGGTCTCTTGTGCTGGTGGAACAGGGCATCCATGGGGCAGCTGAACACGGCCAGGAGCAGGGCTGAGCCTGCTGCTGCTCCTGGAGCTGCAGCCTTTTGCAGAGGCACCAGGCGCACGGCCACGGTGGCAGGGTTTGCATGGGACGAGCAGGGTCTTGCATTGAGGGAGCAGGGTTTGCATGAGGCAAGCAGAGTCTTGCATTGGGTAGCAGGGTTTGCATGGGGTGCACAGGGCCTTGCATTGGGGTAGCAGGGTTTGCATGGGGTGTGCAGAGTCTTGCATTGGGGTAGCAGGGTTTGCGTGGGGCCAGCAGAGTCCTGCATTGAGGTAGCAGGGTTTGCATGGGGTGAGCAGGGTCTTGCATTGGGTAGTAGGGTTTGCATGGGACTGGCAGGGTCTTGCATTGGGGTAGCAGGGTTTGCATGGGGCTGACAGCGTTTTGCACGTGAGCAGCAGGGTTTGCATGGAGCCAGGAGCAGGGTTTTGCACGGAGCAGGGGTTGGCAGCACCGGCCCCGTGCTCGGAGCACGTTTTCCCGCAGTGTGAACCTCTCCGTGCCTCCCGCAGCCACGACTACGAAGCCCCGCAGGAGGTGACACTGGGGACCAACAAGGTGATCGAGGGGCTCAACAGGGGCCTCCTGGACATGTGCGTGGGGGAGCGCCGGGTGCTCATCGTGCCCCCGCACCTGGGCCACGGGGAGAGCGGAGGTGAGCGCAGCGGGGGCGCGCGGCGCCGAGACGCCCCCGGTGCTGCCGCGGGGCCGGCAGCGGCTGCAGCGCCCGCTCGCCTTGCAGCGCGCGGCGTCCCCGGCAGCGCCGTGCTGCGCTTCGACGTGGAGCTGCTCTCCCTGGAGGAGGGGGTCCCTGAGGGCTACCTCTTCATCTGGCATGGGGAGCCACCGGCCAACCTCTACCAGGAGATGGACCTCGACCGGGACGGCGAGATCCCTGCCGAGGAGGTGGGATGGGGGACGGTCTGGCCAATGTGCCCCAGGTGGCCGAGGCGCCCAATGTGCCCCACATGACCAAGGAGCCCAACATGCCTCAAATGGCCATGGTGCCCAACGTGCCCCACGTGGCTGAGATGCCTGACATGCCCCACGTGGCTGAGGCACCCAACATGTCCTGTGTGGCCAAGGTGCCCAGCATGTCCCACATGGCCGAGACGCCCAACGTGCCCCACATGGCCAAGGTGTCCCACATGTCCCATGTGGCCAAGGGACCCAACGTGCCCCATGTGGCCGAGGTGCCCGACAGGCCCCGTGTGGCCAAGGCACTCAACATGCCCCACGTGGCTGAAGTGCCCAACATGCTTCATGTGGCCAAGGCGCCCAATGTGTCCCACATGGCCGAGATGCCCAATGTGCCCCACGTGGCCAAGGTGTCCAACATGTCCCATGTGGCCAAGGTGCCCAATGTACCCCATGTGGCTGAGACGCCCAACGTGCCCCATGTGGCCAGGGTGCCCGACGTGCCCCACATGGCCCCTTCTCGTCTCTCCCTCCAGTTCTCCACCTTCATCAAGTCTCAGGTGGCCGAGGGCAAGGGGCGGCTCATGCCCAGCTCCGACCCGGAGAAAGTCATCGCCGACATGTTCAAGAACCAGGACCGGAACCAGGACGGGAAGATCACGGCCGAGGAGCTGAAGCTGAAGACGGACGAGGACCGGGAGAAGGTCCACGAGGAGCTGTGAGCGGCGGCGGGCGCCGCTCGGGCCCGGCCGCCCGCACGCCTGGGCCCCCTCCTCTTCTGCGCCCTCCAAGCGCGTTGTCCTCCCCGCGTTGGCTGCGGGTGGGAGAACCAGCCCCCCAGCCGGAGTCCCGGCGGGAGGGTGGGAGCCCCCTGTCCCTGGCGCCTCCATCCCCCCGGAAAGGCAGCGCTGGATTTTCCCAGCCCCCTGGCCACTGGGGCGCTTCCCCCTCCCCAAACCCAACCGAACCGGCCTCGAGCCTGGGCCTCCCGTGGGCAGCCCAGCCCCGCGCGCCCTTTGCCCACGACTGCACCGGGATGCACTGGGATGGAGCCACAGGAAGCAGGAGCGTGCGGCACCCCCCGGCCCCTTTCGCTTGGCTCTAGTTTAGGGACTTTTTTGTTTCTACGCCTCATTCCTTAAAGGAGAGGAGAGATGAAGAGGAGGCTGCGGTGCCGCTGCTGGGGCAGCCTCTGCTCCCGCTGCAGCCTGGGTGGACGGAGGAGGCCGGGGGTGACTCAGGTTCCCAGGGTGACAGCGAAACCCTCCCAGGCAGCTGCTCTTCCACACAGCCTTGGTGCAAAACCCTTTGCAGAGAGACCCGGTGACCCTCACGTCAGGGGGGAAAGGCCCCATCTCCCCCCAGGTGCGGGACCCCCCATGCGCACTCCTGCCCTGCAGCCCCCCGGGGCAGCACCGCCCAGGGAATCCCGCCCCGATTCCGATGCCCAAACGCAGCCGCGCCGCTGACGTGGCCTCCCAGGGCCGCCGGTGGGACCAGCGGGTCCCCGTCCCCTGGCTCCGAAGGCTCCCGTGCGGCCGCGCCGCGCGAGCGGACGTCGAACCCCGAGGAAAGAACTGCATCACGGGCTCCAGCAAAGCCCGGTGATTTTTTAACTTTGCACCTAATAAAAACGCCCAAGTGGTTCCCAAGGCGTCCGCCTCTGTGCCCGGTCCCCTCGGCGCGGGCTGGGACCCTCGCCCGGCAGCGGCCGTAGGGCTGGGGGGACAAGGCGGGGGACGGGGCACCCCCTGCTCTCCCCATGCCGCCCCTCCAGCTCCAGCACCCACCGAAACTGCGCGCGCGACGTCCAGGACGGGCACGACACGCAGGCCGGGGTGCGGAGGACGGAGCGGAGCGGGGCAGGTCCCGTTCGGGCTTCGGGGAGGTGTTAACGCCCCGGCGCCCGGCTGGGGGGCGGCGGGTCGGACCCCCCGGCTCATGTCTCCGTGAGGACGAAGCGGAGGATCCCATTGACCACGTCCAGCGTCTCGTCGCTCTCCAGCACCACGTCGTAGGCGTCCAGGTACCTCTCCCTCTGCTCCTCCACCTGCGGCGCGACCACCCGAGGGGCGAGAGGACACAGAGGAGGAGGAGGACCATGAGGAGCAGTGACTGGGAGCAAGACCCAGAGCCAGGGAACATCTCTAAGAGCAAAAGCAAGAGGCCCTGGGGCTGGTGAGCAGGGACACCCAGCAGAGCCACCAAGGAGCACAGCCCTGTCCCCTACAGCCCCACACGACTCCTGATCTGCAGCAAAGAGGGGCCAATTACCACCGCGAGACACCCCAGGGCGCGGACGTCAGTGCTCAGGGGACACAACAGACCCACCTTGTCGTTGAGAAAGCCGATCTTGAGGATGTTCTCCACGCTGGGGACACCGTCTGCCATTGTCAGGTCGCCCATGGAGTCCCCGAGCAAGATGATGCTCGTCCGCGCGCTCAGCTGCTGGAAGTACTCGGTGTCCCGCAGCACGGAGTTGTTCTTGTTGTAGGTGTGGATGAGGGGCGCCTTGAAACGCCTGAGCACTCCCTGTGCAGGGGGGACATGGAAGTTCATCCCAAACTCCCTACCCTGTGTCATGGGCTCTGGGTCCCTTCTGCAGCCAGTTAAAAGAGGGGGACTATAGGCACACATGCCACCAGCTCCAAGCTCTCAATTCCCATTTAAAATAAGCCTGGGGAGAGCCGTGCTAGTCCAAGGGAGCTCCCATGGCCCAGAAAGCAGCAGGTCCAGCTCAAGGATCAAATCCACTTAGGCTTAGCAGGCAGCTTTTAACCTAGCAGCCTCTGCCAAACTTTGCAGCCCCAAATTCATCGCTACCAAATCCCCTTCTCTCTGCAGAACAAGATGCAGAAACTCACATTGTCATCGAAGTCCATGTAGTTGGAGACCACATTGACATTTGGGTGGAAAACATTGGCCTGGCGGATAATTTCCTCGAGGATGTCACCCACACCAGCAGAGAAGATGAACAGGGGGACGTTGTATTTATGCAGCCGGTTGAATAATTCATCGAATCCATCCCTAAGACAGAGGAGTCCAAAACACAGTATTACGTTACCATCTTTCGGCGCAGTGTTAGTTTTAAGACTATCACTGACAAGGCTGGTTTTAGCAGCAAGTTGTAGCGTAGCATTTTTGTGCTCTGAAATTTGATGCTGAGGCCAAGGTCTGGATGAAACCCACAGGTTGCACAAGGGGAGAGAATCATCTGGAAAAGTGGGATGCTTCCCCACCCCGTCCTCCGAAAAGCTTTGGGCTTGGAAGAGCTGGTTGGGGAGCTCCACTGCCGCATCAGTGCCCTGGGCTGCTCCTTGCCAAGGACAAGGAAGGGGACGCCGTGAGGCTCCGAGGGCGCTGGGATGTGGCGCAGGGAGGGCTGCAGCTGCCCCGCGGTACCTCAGCATCACGTCGGACTCCCGGACGATCTGGGGTATGTCGCTCTTCAGGATCTTCTGTTGCGACAGCAGCTCATGGGCCTTGCTCCACCTGCAAGAAGGCACCAAATGAGCTTCCCAGGTCCAAACCCAGGCAGCCAGAGACGTAACGGGGAGAAACTTCCTGGTACTGCTGCCAACTCTGGAGGAAGTTCAAGCTCGCCCTTTTACACCCGGGCGCAAGGAGCCACCCCGGCAGGGTCACAGGCCCTGTTCAATGTGATCGTTCTGAGACCAACTGGGGTCTTTCTCGCTCACGTCTCTGCAAGCCTCAAGTCTCTTGTGTTTCTCGATGGCTGCTGAGCTTTGCCCGAGGAGGTGCCGTTGGATATGGCAACATCAGGCACCAGTGTGGAAGGAAATCAGGTCTCTGCTGGGTATCCAGCATCCCCGATCCTGAATCAATAACTCTAGCCAGGGAGCCTCTCCTCTTTCCCGAGAGTTTCTAGGTCTTGGATTCAGGAGCAATTGTCTTTCTTCCAACTTGCCCCTCTCATGTTCCCCTTGCAGAGCAAACTCATCACATGCAACTACTCACCACTCCACCATGAGGGGCCGTTTCTCCTCCAGGGTCCGTTTGGGATCAATTTCGATGGGATAGTAATAGTGCAGCAGATCCTTCAGCTGCAGCGTGGGACACACACAAGGAGCATGCAGTGAACAGCAAGTCTAAAGATGCTGGAGACAACAAAAAGCATCTCCAAATTCCCCCAAATACGGAGGCCGGGGCCATAGCGAAGGACACCCACCTGCCTCCTGCCCTCCTCACTGACAACACGGCTGTTATCCAGGATATCTGTGAAGACAACAACGGTCCGGTGACGTAGCGCAGACACACGTGGGGACAGTAAGCAGGTTGTCCGAGAGGCAGCTATTTGGGGTCAAGATCTCGGAAGGGCTGAGATGCAAAGCAACGCTCAGCAGGGCCGGAGCAGGACCAACACCCACGAGCCTTAGGGAAAAGCATTAGGAAAAGCAGCAGCATCTGGGGCCCTTGGTGGGAGCTGGAGCTCAGGAGCTCATTTTCACAGGGGCTGGACCGCCTGGGAGCGCAGCTGGAAGTACTGGAGTTGAGGAGGGTGGACAAACGGGATGGGGAAGGGGCCGGACTGGGGAAGAGAGGGAGGCAGCAGGTAATGGGAGGCGACAGAGATGGAAAACACACCGAGAACCGGCAGAGCTGGGACAGGGGGGAAGCCACGGGGCTCCGACTCACTGTGTGACGTGGGGCAGCGCCTGCCGTTGCACCCGAACCTGCTCAGCGTCATGTCGAAGTCGGAAATGACCTGAAAGGGAAGAGAGGACGAGGGCCGCGGGGGAGGCTGCGGCCCCGTGCGGGAGCGGCTGCGGCTCGGCCGGGGCAGCCGGGCTGCACTGCTGCCAGCTGTGCAGCAGATGTGCTTGTCTGCGACAGCCACCACCCTCCCGTCCCGGGCGCCCTTATCAGCGCCCAAAGGGACAATCCTGCCATGGGTGGAGGGGGCACGTCTGGGGACGGGTTAATATTTATAGTGCGTGAAACAGGGAAGGAAAAGGTCCGTGTAGGGAGAGGTGCCACCCAGGGCAAACAGCTCTCCCTTCTCGTCCTGCACCTTCTGCGTCCCCTCTGTAGAAGGGTGGCAAGGGGCTGGGTGCAAGGAGGCTGGGCAGGAGCGTGCACCCTCTGCAGCCCCAGGGGAGCAGCCCTGGGGTCCTACCTGCAGCCTGTGCATCCCCTGCTCCTTCACGGTCCATACCTGCACCTTGTGCATGCCCTGCTCCCTCATGGCCCTACCTGCAGCGTGTGCATCCCCTTCTCCCTCATGGCCCCTATCTGCACCTTGTACATCCCCTGCTCCTTCACAGCCCGTACCTGCAGCTTGTGTGTGCCCTGCTCCTTCATGGCCCGGATGATCCCCGCCACCCGCTCCGGGTCCTTGATGCGGACGGTGCTTTTCTGCAGCTCGGGCACCTGCGGGAGGAGCCCCGCATGTCACGGACACCCCGGGTGCCCCACGCAGGCCCGGGGGACGAGCAAGCGCGCTCTGCCTCCCCGGCCGGACTCCTCCTCCCCGGCCGCTCCGCATCCCCGTCCCGCTCCGAGCGCGCCCCGCGCGTCCCGCTGCTCCTCCCCGCGGAGCCGCGCTCGTCCCGCGGCTGCCCGGGCCCCGCTGCGCTC